TGGGCTTGAAGGCAGGTGCTAAACTGCTGAGCCACCCGGGCTGCTCCGAAGCCTTTTTTTTTTTTTTTTTTTTTTTTTTTTTGCAAAATTGATTGATTGTTTTTAGAGAAAGAGAGAGAGCATGAGCAGGGGGAGGGGCAGAAGGATGGAGAGAGAAGCCACAAGCAGAATCCTCCCAGGACCCTGAGATTGTGACTTGAGCCCAACCAAGAGTTACCCACTTAACGGACGGAGCCCCCCGGGCTCCCACAAGCGAAGCAAGCCCTCCTCCCACTAGTGCCCGGACACGCGGAACACGGCAGCCTACATATGCAGAGCGAGCTGCCCGTCGTCGTGCTCGGGAAGATTCCAGGTTAACCCCGGGCACCCACGGGTCTGCCTTGAGGCTTCGCTGCAGAGCCCCTGTGTGCAGAGGCCGACGAAGGCGGGGCGGCGTGTGGCTGCACCTGCTCCCCTGGGGCCCCCTAACGAACCCCCAAACCTAATGCGGCCTCTTCCACATGTGCTGGCCGCCAGCCGCTCTCCCCAGGGTGACCGAGTCCCTTGTGTTCCCCGGGGCCTCAGATGCCCCTGTCTTGTCTGTCTTCGTGGTGGTGGTGGTGGGGGGAGAAGGTAATCAGCAGCAGGTGGCACCCCCCAGTGGGGGTTCTCGCCTCAGCCAGGGAGGGGCATCTGGGGTCAGAGCACTGGAGAGCCCGGCAGCCTTCCCTCCTTAATTCTACACCGAACAGAAGGGGTTGGGGTTCGAGCAGAAACGTGTCCTACTGTACAACGTGGACGGCAACCCCTGACCACCAGCGGACACAGCAGGCGGGGAGCTGAGGATTCCACTGTGCCTTTCATGAATATTCCCCAGTTACTTCTTCTCCACCCCCCCCCCACTCTTGCCTGCTCATCACTCAAGCGCTTATAAAACACTCTCGGGACCCTCCCCCTCCAGATATTTCAATTCCATTGATTTGGGGAGGACCTGGGCAGTGGCACTTTTTAAAAGCTCCCTTTGGGGACACCCCGGTGGCTCAGCGGTTGAGCATCTGCCTTCAGCCCAGGGCGTGATCCTGGGGCTCCTGGTTCGAGTCCCGCATCGGGCTCCCTGCATGGGGCCTGCTTTTCCCTCTGCCTGTGTGTGTGTCTCTCTCTGTCTCTTATGAATAAATAAGTAAAATCTTTAAAAAATGAATAAATAAAAGCTCCCTTTGAAGAAAAGCGACCTAATTTTAACATTGAGCTCCTCTGCTCCAGGCGATGCTGGATCGTGAGGAGCTGCAGGGGGCGGCTGGGCTGGAGGGAGGTAGCAGCAAGGGTATCACGGGAAACCATTCACTGCTTTACGGGGGAGCAACATCTTCCTGGTTCTTCGCAAAGCTCTTCCCAACTCATGATCTGAGAGTAGTGCACTGAGGAAAGGACACAGCTTTCGGAGTGAGACAGGCAGGGTGAGACACCCAACGTTGGGTGACTCTGGGCAGGCATTTATGCATCGTGTCCCATGGGTGCTGCGGTGAGAGCCTGATGTGATTGTGGCCTGGGTGGCAGCACTCTGTTATCTATAGTCCAGTAAATATTTGAGTCTCCTCTTTTTTGTTTCTCTGCAAGATAGCTTTTGAGCCCAAACGGGCAATTGCTTCTTCACAGCCCTTTGCACATGAGGCGAGGCTTGCAATCCTCCAATACCTGCAAGCGCCAGGGATCAAGACTGTCCCTGATACAGTGATCGTGTGTCCTGAACCCAAGAGTCCAGACTAAATCTTCTAAACCATATTAAAAGTTGTGACTACTGGGCAGCCCGGGTGGCTCGGCGGTTTAGTGTCGCCTTCAGCCCAGAGCATGATCCTGGAGACCCGGGATGGAGTCCCGCATCGGGCTCCCTGCATGGAGCCTGCTTCTCCCTCTGCCTGTGTCTCTGCCTCTCTCTCTCTCTCTCTCTCTCTCTCTCTCTCTGTCTCATGAATAAATAAATAGAAATCTTTTCTTAAAAAAGTATTTATATGAAAAAGATTACAGAAGAGGATAAAGATTCAATGACTTTAGGTAGTGTTTTGTGTTTTTTTTTTAAATGCAAGTATGTACTGATTTCTGTTTTTTATGCAGCATGTGCTTATTTAATACTGGAGCCAGTCTGGACCAGTCAAGTCCTAGTTCTAACCTTGCATCCTTATTTTTCTCACAGCACCTGGGTGCTCCGAAAATGGAAAGAAGATAAAAAAAACAAGTTCAGAGATATATGAAGACAGGTAAAGATCTCAAGGCTCTCAGTGTCTGGTTCGTTTCTCTTATCCATGGTTGCTGTTGTTTGAGATATAAATATCCTATCACTAATAATTCTTTTTTCGATTCCAATTTCCTACTGGTCTTTAGAGTTGCCACGTCAAACTGCCCAAAGCATATTATGAAATACTCAAGACTAGCTTACGAGGGTCCTAATTAACAACAGAACCCATTCCAAGTGCTGCTCTACAGGTTATATGCTAGCCTGAGGGCAGGGTGCTTTTCTTCTTACCAACATCATGTGTGTGTGTGAGAGAGAAAGAGAGACAGACAGACAGAGATACAGAGAGAGTAACAGATATTGGGCTGTGTTTCTGGCTTGTCCTCTCCAAGGGGGACAGAACTTGGCTTGCTCTCTTCTAGTAGAGGGTTGGAAAAAATCAGCTATTTTTGCTTTGGGGTAAAATGATCTTGTGACATAAAGCCCCATGAATCCCACTCCCAGGAATTTATCATGAATGAAACTAATCAGAAACCAAGAGAGCTGTTTAAACTTATTTTCGTAAAATTGTAAAATTGCTGCCTAAATATTGATCAATAGGGAATCGGTAGGGTAACTGTGGTAAGAGCAGTGGAACATGATGCGGCCGTCAAAAATGATACGGACGATTACACCGATGAGAAAAGAGTCCCACTGCATATTGTTGAATAAAAATAAGCCACTTACATAAAAGCGTATATAACATCCCACTCCCGTCATACTGCATAGGTTTATACACCTCTAAGTGTGTGCATGCACACACGTCTCCGTGTGTTAGCGTTGGGTAATGTTCACTTTCTTGGTACTTTTTCACATTGTTTTGTTTACAGTGAGCATGGATTACTATTATAAAATAGTTATTTTATAAAAACTGCATTCATAAAGATATTTACTATAATATTCTCTATAATAGAGAAGATTTATAGAGCACTGTATTAGGGTTCCCCAGAGAAATAGAACCAATAGGATGGATAGATACATAGATAGATGGATGGATAGATAGGTAGATAGATAGATAGATAGATAGATAGATAGATAGATAGATAGAAAGAAAGAAGATATTGATTATAGGATCTGGCTCGCCTGGCTTTCGAAGCTGAGAAATCCCTCAGCCTGCTGTCTGCCTCCTGAATGAGGAAAGCCAGCGGTGTGATTCAGGGTCAGGCTGCAGGTGTAAGTCCTGGAGTTCAAGGGGCCAGGTGCCGGGAGCTCTGATGTCTGAGGGCAGGAGAAGACGGATACCCCAGTTCAAGAAGAAAAGGAGGCAATTCCTCCCTCCTTCGCCTTTTTGTTCTCCTTGGGCCTTCGGTGGGTCGGGGATGCCCATCCACGCTGGTGAGGGCAGATCTCTTTGCTCAGACTGCTGAATTGAATGTTCACATCCCTTATCCAGAAATAGCGTTTCACCAGGCATCTGGGTATCCCTTCGCCCAGTCAGGCTGACACATAGGATTAACCCTCACGAGGACTATATGCCAGGCACTGTGCTAAATGCTTTTCATTCGTTATCTCTATAATAGCCAAAGCAGCAACAGAACGAAAAACCGAAACTGAAGACAACCTAAGATACTTGATGGTAGAAAAAGTATTTTAAAAAGTGGAAAAATTTTTTAAAAATAAAAATAAAAAAATAAAAAGTGGAATCATCGGCCCCCGTTAAAATTCCAATTATGAAGATTGTCTTAGGTCATTGGAACACACTTAGCATAGTGTTCAGAAGGCAAAGACGCTGATTGCCGCCTTGTAAATTATGTCCACCTGGAGTGGGGGGCTGGAAGGTGTCAGCAGAAGGCAGTGGGATTATGATGGGTGACTTTTTTTTTTCTCCTTTTAAAAACTTGTATGTTGGGACGCCAGGGTGGTTCAGTGGTTGAGTAGTCTGCTTTTGGCTCAGGTCATGATCCTGGGGTCCTGGGATGAAGTCCCAGCCCCTGCATGGAGCCTGCATCTCCCTCCGCCAGTGTCTCTGCCTCTCTTTCTGTGTGTCTCCTATGAATAAAGAAATAAAATCGTACAAAAAATTATTATGGAAAATTTCAAATACACACACAAGTAGAGAAAATGGGAGAATAGGAGTACAACTCTCATGTACCAATTGCTCAGCTTCAACTGAGAGAAATGAGTTGAGAAGTGTGGTCCACATTCACCTCACTTGGTCCCAGTGATCTGATTTTTACCTGTTCCCTTATCTCCTCCCCACTATTTTTTCTGGAACATGTAAAGGAAATTCCAGGCATCCTGTCCTTTCTACCTGGCTTTTTCCCACTCTCTGAACACCACACCATTGCCACCCCATGTGTTATGTTTGGTGATTAAAGTTTACGCAACACAGAAGAGAGCGGCAACGTTTAAAAGGCCCCTTCACTGGGAAACGAACTAGGGGTGGTGGAAGGGGAGGTGGGCGGGGGGTGGGGGTGACTGGGTGACGGGCACTGAGGGGGGCACTTGACGGGATGAGCACTGGGTGTTATTCTATATGTTGGCAAATTGAACACCAATAAAAAATAAATGTATAAAAAAATAAAAGGCCCCTTCATGGACACAAAATACACAACAGTGTGGGTAGGCGCATACATTTTTCAGGCAAGATACTGCAGAGAACTGGCTGGTAGGAGTTTTTCTTGCAAATATTTCCAGACCTCAGATCTGGAAGTCAGGTTTTTTTTTTTTTTTAAGATTTTACTTATTCATTTATTTGACACACAGAGCGAGCACATGCACAAGCAGGGTAGGGGGAGCAGTAGAGGGAGCAGCAGGTCCCCACAGAGCAGAGGATGTGGAGCTCAATCAGAGCCCTGGGATCACGACCAGAGTCACAGGCAGATGCCCAACCGACTGAGCCACCTGGACGCCTCTGTGAAGTCAGGTTTTTTTTTTAAATATTTTATTTATTTATTCATGACAGACACAGAGACAGAGGCAGCGGCAGAGGGAGAAGCAGGCTCCATGCAGGGAGCCCGATGCGGGACTTGATCCCGGATCATCTTGAGCCAGAGGCAGACGCTCAACCGCTGAGCCACCCAGGCGTCCTGTGAAGTCAGTTTTAACCGGCTCTGCTTCTTAGCATTTTGCCTGTTCCTTCATCCATCAACAGCTTCTCGTGTCAGTCAGCAGCTTTCTTACTTAACCAGTGCCAACAACTAGGAGACCACGCAGGGTCAGGGCTACGGTTAGCATTCCATCTGCCCACCTGAATCAGAAATACAGGACCCAAAGGGGGACAAAGGAATTTTTTTTAAAGATTTTATTTATTTATTCATGAGAAAGAGAGAGAGAGAGAGAGAGGGGATCATGACCTGAGTGGAAGGCAGATCCTCAACCGCTGAGCCACCCAGGTGCTCTGGGGACAAAGGAATTAATTGATTAAAAAAAAAAACACCATTTATAATGTTCGGCTTCCATTCTGCGTTCTCCCTCCCGTGCCCAGCGCCATCCGTCCAGGAGCCTTGGTGCTCCAGCCTCCCCGCCAGCCTCCCCGCCAGCCCTCTTCCGCAGCCTCTGCTCCCTGGCCTCCTGCGTCAGCACACCGGTCACTCTCCCTATCCTCCCCCTGAACTCATCGGATCAGATGGCACACCTTGGGACCTCTCCTGTGCAGATATCCAATGTGACGGGCACTTCGTCTCCCTACCTGGGCAGAGGGAGAGGGGTTCCTGCACCCCCTCATGCATCTGTACCCCTCTGTGCCTGGTGCAGTCTGGGGGGGGGGTTGCTCAGCAGCTCTTCCCAGCGTGAATCAGCTTGTGATTTTTTAGGGATCGATTATTCTTCGTTGGGCTTTTCCAGCCCTGCCTCCCTTGGTCACCTTTCTGCGGCCGGCGGATGGTCCTTGCATCTCATTTCTGCTTCTTAGTACCTGCTGCCAGACGTTGAAAGGAGGAAGCGACTGGGGCGGACGGCAGCTGCTGCTCAGGCCATCAGGAAAGTCGGACTTGGGCAGCGTGTTTGGATTTTCTGTGCTTTTAGCTTTTCCTCCCACCCGGTCGGTCATTCATTAAACCAAATTCCCGGAATCTTGCAGTGACCTTGGGAATGGCTGTCACAGGTCGTGTCCTCAGGAAGGGGCTGGATTCCGACTCAGCTGGGGAAATTCACTAAGGCCAATCCGTTAAAGTAGAAGTGACAGGTCTCTGGGAGCCATCCCCACCCTGTGTGCAATGGAGTCACAGAGGTTTGGGGGGGCTCCTCTTCCGGGGGGTTCTGGTGTTACCGTCCAGCCACATTCTGGGACACGCTGCTCAGGTACTGGATCACGAGCTAAGCTGCAACCAAGAGCCACCCGGGTGCCCCCCTGCCCCCGGATGTGATTAACATTTAAAATGATGGAGTCTAGGGACACCAGGTGACTCAGTGGTTGAGCTTCTGCCTTTGGCTCAGGTTGTGGTCCTGGGGCCTGGGATCGAGTCCCACCTTGGGCTCCCCGCAGGGAGCCTGCTTCTCCCTCTGCCCGTGTCTCTGCCTCTCTCTCTCTCTCTCTGTGTCATAAATGAATGAATAAAAAAATAAAAATAAATAAAAATAAATAAATAAATAAATCTTAAAAAAAATCGGTGGAGGGATGCCTGGGTGGCTCAGTGGTTGAGTGTCTACCTTTGGCTCAGGGCGTGATCCCAGGTCCAGAGATCGAGTCCTGCATCGGGCTCTCTGTGAGGAGCCTGTTTCTCCCTCTAAGTCTCTGCCTCTCTCTGTGTGTCTCTCATGAATAAATAAATAAGATAAATAAACCTTGTTATTCTTTACCAAAAAAAAAAATGGCGGAGTCTAAGTAAAGCAGGTGAGCCTCGTCCAATCAGTTGAAGAAGACAAAAGACTGACTTGCCCTGAGCAAGAAGGAATACTGTCATCCGACAGCCTTTGGACTCAAACTGCAATTCTTCCCTGGGTCTATGGACCATCAGCCTACTCCCTCACAGTTTGGACTCCCCAAGCCTCCAGGAACATGAGCCAACCCTTAAAAATAAATCTTGAGCTTTGTCTATATATATATATATATATATATATATATATATATATAATATGCACATACTTTGTCAGTTCTGTTTCTCTGGGGAACTCTAATACAGTGGGATATACATTTCATGAAATATTATTTGGCCATAAAAAGGATTGAAGGACTAATTCATGCTCCAACATGGATGAACCTTGTAAGCATTATGTACGTGAAAAAAGCCAGTCACAAATTCACAAATTTTATGATTTCACCTATATGAAAAGTCAGAATAGGCAAATCCACAGAGGCGTAAAGTAGATGAATGGTTCTTTAGGGCTGGGGAGCAGGTGTGTGTGAGGGGAATGGGGAGCTACTGCTAATGGACTTGGGCTTTCTTCTGTGGGGGATGAAAATGTTCTAAAATTAGATTATGGTGATGGTTGCACAACTCTGGACATATACTAAAAATATGGAATTGTACACGTTACACAGGTGAATTACATCTCAATACAGCTGTTTTAGTAAATGAGTGTAACAAAATTCACGAAGAGAGTACAAAATGTCTGAAATTCTGGGAAACACTGAATTGGAGCCTGATGTTCCTCAGAGACTCTCGTGAACCTCTCTGGAGACACACTGTCTGTACTTGTTTCCTTTTTATTCCCTGTTGTGTTATTCATAGCCACAGAAAATCAATCCAATTTTGTCCTCGACTGGTAGCTGCATTACTCAACCTGATTAAAAATATAAGAGCAAAATATAGGTTGGCTTATGAAGTAAGAGATAGAGACGCTGACAGTTGCTCAAGAAGGAATCTAAAATATACATTGGACCACTGCCTGGAAGAAGGATGGAAATTTATTACACGAGGGAGGTTTATGTGATACCTCATGTTCTGAGTATTTCCATCCATGAACACAGAGCTGACCTGCCTCTCAACCTAAGTGGAGACGGAGGTGGTGGGGGCTCGCTGCACACCCAGCATCCTCCATTGCCTCTGAAAATCAGTGTGCCTTAGAGATTTTTTTTGGAGAATTGGTGCCAATATATTTCCAAGTGGCCACAGTCCATTCCCTCAAAAAAAATATTTTTTTTAAAGAATGGATTAAGCATAAAAATCAGTTCACTAGGGTTCTACATATAAAAACCACTTTCATATTAAATAAAAACCTTCCAGGCAGCCTGGGTGGCTCAGCAGTTCAGCACTGCCTTCAGCCCAGGATGTGATCCTGGAGACCTGGGATCGAGTCCTGTGTCGGGCTCCCTGCATGGGACCTGCTTCTCTCTCTCTGCCTGTGTCTCTGCCTCTCTCTGTGTGTCTCATGAATAAACAAATAAAATCTAAAAAGTAAAATAAAAATAAAAACCTTCCTTAGGTAGTCAAGCTTTTTTAAGGTACCACCCCCTTCTCTGAAAACTAGTGATCATATACTAGCCAACCCCTTGTGGTCCTTGATGAGGGACAGCAAGAGTTGTGTCCCCACCTCACAGACCACAGTGGATTCCACCAAGAGTGGATATCTGACCCCCACTGGACCATCAGACCCTCTTTCCTGGAAGTTTGGGATTCTGATACAGAGCCTAGTTCATATGCTTCCAAAAAGAATTCTACAGTGATTTGTGAAAGTTTTCATTGTACATAAATGGAATTGCAAAGGACGTTATTTCCCAGGTTCTACAAATTCTTACATTTTAAAATAAAACAACCACATCACTCTTGTCCCCTTATGCAGTGAAATCTAAATTCATCCATTAAAAAAAAAAAGGAACAAGTACTTTATTAACAGCAGGACATTATACATCATTCTTTTTTTTCCCTCCTTAAACCTATGTTTGCATTCCAAATTCAATATTTTGTGTTGATCACAGTATCTTAATTCTCCAGAACAGAAAAACTTACATAAATTGAAGTTAGAACCTTAAAAACCTGCAGTAACCATAGGCTCTGTGTTAAAAACAAGTAAATATGTTACATATTTTTAAAAGTATTCAACGTGAAGTAAAATAATATTGGCCTTTTAAACTCTTGGAGCAAAAAAAATAAAAATAAAAATAAACGGTGCATGTATCAAAGATAAATACTTCATATTGATGAATATCACATATTCCTACTTATCCCATTTTTTTACTTATCCCATTTTTAAAATCATATCTTTAACTATATGTCCCTGTAATCAATCTATATAATGATTGACTTTGTCCAAATAAATGTGCAAAGGAGACTGGAAGTGATTTGCATGCTAATGACACTCTGTTCTTTGACATTCTTCTCAGCTTTATGCCCCAAATCCCTTAGTGATCTTCCATCAAATATTATTTTAATGATCTTTCAGTGGGCAACTCTAGTAGCAACTTCTTCAGTCTCAATGTAAGCAATAAAGTGAATACTTAGGATTTGCCTAGTGGCTGATGCTATCAGTGCCCCACCTCCTTCTCGGAGGCACTAGGCATTTTAGGATGCAAAGAAGGTGTCCTATTCCAAATATATATATGACTGTTCCTGAGAGCTTTCCCTTTACCTGAGTGTGAGGGAGACAAGTGTCAAGGAGTTCATGCCCCTGGGGACAGCCTTCAGTCAATGATAAGAGATTCTGAGCTCCCTTGATTTGCAGGTGGGATAGTCCTGAGGTGTGTTCTATACAACCTTAAGGTTCCCTTAAGGGAAGTGAGTGCTACTAGTTTTTCAGTGGTAATTTGCTAACCCTGACCCTAACCCTAACCCTATATTGGGTTCCTTCTCTTCCCTAACACTTTTCCCTCTCCTGTTGGTGCTTCCCTCATAATGCATTTGCACTCAACTCTCGATCTTGGGAATGCCTCTGGGGTAACCCAGCTGCAGTGGGTTGAATTGTGGCCCCCAGAAAGATATCTCCAAGTCCCAAACCCCCCAGAACCTGTGATTATGATCTATTTGGAAAAAGAGTCTTTGCAAAAGTGATTAAGTTAAAAATCTCAAGATGAGATCATCCTGGATTACCCAGAGGAGGGTCCCTAAATCCAAAGACAAACACCCTTCTAAGAAAAAAAAAAAAAAAAAGGCCCAGAATCAGAAAAGGTCCTGGGAGGACAGAGGCAGAGATAAGAATGATAAAGTCATGAGCTGATGAATGCTGCCTGGAGCCACCAAAAGCTGGAAGAGGCAAGGAAGGATTTCCCCCTACAGTCTTTGGAGGGAGTGTGTTCAGCTGACACCTTGATTTTGGACTTCTGGTTTCTAGAACTGTGAGCAAATAAAGTCCTGTTGTTGTAAGCCACCAAATTTGTGGTAATATTTGTTGTGGCAGTTACAGGAAACCAAGTTCTGGGGACGGATGGTGGTGAAGGCTGCACAACAATGTGAATGCACTTAATGCCACTGAATTAATTGTACGCGTGAAAATGGTTAAGATGGTAAATTTTACATCATGTGTATTTTACTGCCACCACCACCACAACAACAAAAGAAATAAAGAAAAAAGAAAGGAAGCTAGAGATTAGATTGGATTTAGTCAGTGCTCAAGGGATCCCATGGGTTGGGAGGGAGCATAGGAGGCGTTTAGACATGTGATATGGGGTGGGGGCTGGGGGCCAGAGGGGTTGGATTTCTTGTCTTATCTCACAGTCCCCAGCTGGATCCCTCCTGTGGGCTTAGAAGAACAAACCAGAAGGCACCCTCCCATACAAAACCAACCAACCAACCAACCAAACATGGCATGAGTTTATCTGGAATATAGCAAGCATTTGTACCCTCTAGACTTGGAAAGCTCTAGCAAAACTCTTTCTCCCCTGGCTCTCTGTCCCCAGATGTGATGACTGCTATCAGCGAAAGGAGGCGGAGTTGGCTAGGCACAGCCTTTACACCACTGAGAGTCCTTGAATTTTCTCTGTTTGGGCTTCCTTTGAACATCTTTGATACTCAAAGCAATAGTTTAACGATAGGTATTAACTTTTTCACCTGAAAAATCTGCTTTTACACATCCTCTCATGGATCCTCATAGGAGTGTGTGGATCTAGGGCTGCATGCACCTGCCCTAGAAGCTGAGCAACT